CAGAGTCAGGGACAACTATGGGCGAGCCCGTACATGGCCATGGCCCAAGCAAGCGATCGCTCGGGATGCCCTAAGTCATGTCCGAGACCAGCGGGGAGTTCTTCGAATGGGATCCCACCGTAGGGAGGCGCCGAGCCCCCAGGGCCAATCGAACGGTCCTGGGACCCAATAGAGAAGCCCTCTGGTACCTTTGGAGTGCGTCTCTGGACCGCTAGCCAACCCTTATCGAATGGGGCACAGGCCTCCACTCGGACTTACCCAATAGCAGCTCACCGAAAGTGTCACCGCTCGTACCCACCGAGGGTAGCCTGGCATATTTCACCCCTCCTTTCGAACGAAAAGGAAGCACGAGGGTCATATAAAAAAGCTAGGGGGAACCCCTGACGGACCTCCCCGCAGAGGCTAAGGGGCTCTCCCTGTAACTTTGTCGAGACCAGCGACCCAGGTTTGCTTTTGAGGGGGCTCGGCAAACAAACCCCTCTTTCTGAACGAAAAGGTTGCACGAGGGTCGTTCAAAAAGCCAGGGGAACTCCTGACGGCCCTCTTACTCCGAACAGAGGCTAAGGAGCTCTTCCTGCAGATATGCTAAGGCCCCATGACCCAGGCTCGCACCCGAGGGGGTCACAGCAAACAAACCCTCATGCGTGAGAGGCATATAAAAAGCCAGGAGAGCACCTGACGGCCCTCTCGCTCTGTGCAGAGGCTAGGGGACTCTTCCTGCAAAGTTTGCTGAGACCCAGCGACCCAAACTCGCATTCACGGGCCCGGCAAGCATGATGAGACCCCTTGCTCAACGGAGAAAAAAGCCCCTGGAGGAGTAAACCCACTCCTCTAGGGCCTCGGGGGCTACACCCGGTGGGTGCGCTCGTGCGCACCCACCAGAACCACCAAGTACAAAACATGATCCCGACAGGAGCTGTTGCGAACCAAGTCTCGTCAAAAACCTTAGGAGAGTGCTCGCACTCCTCCCGAGGCTCGGGGGCTACTGTCGGATACCACAAGAAGGGGTACCCTAAGCAAGATCCAAGAATATTACTTAAGCCTTGCTAAAACCAAAGCCAAAAGACTACTGCAAGGTCTCGGCAGAATTCTCCGATTCGCCCGAGGCCCCGCGCCGAGGCCTCATGCGAAACAGGCCTAAAACGTCCCGCCGAGGCCCTCTCGCCAAGGCCTCGCCCCGAAAGGCCTCGGATGGATCTCCAATTCTCCAATTCGCTCGAGGCCAGGCTCGGCGAACGTACTCGTAACCTCTGTCCCGACCGAACTCCTCTGGCTAAACATCACGTCCGGATTAAATGCACCCAACCACTCCCGCAAACATCAGCCGCACGTAGGTACAGTGCGGGTAGAACAACTAACAGGACAGGGACCGGGCACAGCAGGGGTTACCTACCACTATACTCACCACTATGCTCCCTCCTGACACTTATACCGCCCTGTGCTACCTAACCCCTGCGCCAAGGACAAAGCGGCATGGAAGGTCGAGTCCATGTCCCTGTAGCCTCGGAAACAGTAGGAGAGCCCAGCTGCTCGGTCTCTGCCTCGTTCGAGACCCCCCGACAAGGCCTCGGACGCGCCATTCCTTCTCCGCCTCGGCCGAGGCCAGGCTCGTCCCGCATTCTCATCGCCTCCGCCTCAATTGCCCCTCTGGCGGGCCGTCCCATCGTGTAAGTACCCCTAGTTACGCCCTACGTCGCCCACGATTGGCGGTGGTATGGCAAAAGGGCGATGGGGACGACGGTCAAATCACCTTTTACCATCCCCATCGACGGTGCAGAGACTACAGCTCCTGCGGACACCCATTCCACACTTTTTCACCGGAATCGGGTACGACACAGACCACCGAGACCCCCGCGTCGTACACAGGTCACCTCCAAGGCCTCGGCAAAGAAGGCCTCGGCACGATCAGCTCTAGCACCCGCTAGGCCTCGGCACTCCACCAGGACAAGAGTCCACCAGGCACGGCATGTCACCTACAGTGGAGGCCATAGTGACTAGACGTCAACAAGGACTCTTACAACTTCAACAGCCTCGGGCATGGCTCTGCGTGGACTTGACCGGTGATCAAGTACCAATTGCCATTCCCGACCTTTGTCTGCTACTGTGAATATGTCACAAGATCTTGGATCTTCCTTCCTCGCTAAGGCTCCACGTGTAGCTCTCTCATGTACTCCTGGCTCCCTCCTTGTGGCTATAAAAGGAAGCAGCCAGGCCGTTTCTTTAGGATCGAAACCACGCCCAGCCCTCACGCAAAAAAGCACTCACTCAATTCACGCTGGCGCCCCACGCTGCTCGAGAGCAACGACTCAAGTAGCCCACACCATTCCACGCCGAGACTGGGACTAGCTCCCTCTCTCACCCAAATTTTGTAACCCCTACTACAAGCACTTGATGCAGAGAATACAAGATCGATCTCCTAGACTGGACGTAGGGCGCCGATTGCCTGAACCAGTATAAACCTTGTGTCTCTTTGCATCACCATCCGGGATTAGGGGCACGCAGTTTACATTTACTGGTTGGTTGAGGACCCCCCGGTCCGAAACGCCGACAATACTCTTCCTCCCAGTACCAGCCTAAACATCCAGTGCCATCTCACTGAAATTAAAACAAAAAATTAGAACTTTAATCACAATCATCATGAAAATAAGTATAAATTAACCATAATCATCAAATGTGACAAAATAACTCACATTGCGATCCGGACACTTGTAGAAGATACTGCCATTGTTGGGACACTCCTTCCTCACCCGGTACTCCATCACAATCTTCTCCTCACACTTGCCGCATGCAATGAGAGGGAGGTCCGGTCTCAGTCGCTTTGGAACCCGATGAGAGGTCAAGGACCCGGAAGCAGTTGCCATCTACTCTCTATACTCATATTTAATATAATATAAATTTCTCATTTTATAAACAAATAAAATTAAAAAACTCTAAAATTCTCTATATCTCTAAACCATGAAGTATGCTATGCATGCTAGAATTGAAGCTGAATACTAGTTTTGAATAACTACTTTAACCTTCCTTCATCCAAATATGCAAACTTTAAAGTGATTTTGAGCTTAAATGGCTTACAAATAAAAAAAATCCACATATATCTAGTCCACAAAATGAGATATGCTACTGATGAAACATGAGAGTATAAAGTTGGTAACCTAAACCGAAGAATCGATGGAGGAATCGAATAAATCTTGTGATTACCAGCGATAAGGAAGAAGAGAGGCCGGTGATAAAGTAAGAACACTGAGGTCGAAGTGGCTTGGGCTCGGGGAGGAAGAAGGGGTATATAGGAGGAGATCTTTAGTCCCGGTTGGAGACACCAACCGGGACTAAAGGTCCCTTTCTACTCCCGGACGGAGCCTCTAGCCGAGAGTAGACTTTTACTCCCGGTTGGAGGGACCAACCGGAAGTAAAAGTTAACGTTTAGTCCCGGTTGATAGCTCCAACCGGGACTAAAGGTCCCAGGCTTTTGCTGAGGGGACCTTTAGTCCCGGTTGGAGCTACCAAGCGGGACTAAAGGTTTCTCTAGTCCCGGACGCGAAAAATACCGGGACTAAAGCCAAATTTCGAAGATCAAAAGTCGTTTCTTTACTAGTGTAGCTACTCTAGAACTACTCCTAATAAGAGAGGCACCACTACTAAGCTACACAAGCAACAAGACCACACTAATAAAGAGAATACAAAGAGAAGTTTTTCATATAATAGCAGATGCAAGTAACTTTTTATTAGAAGGTAGATTATCTAGTGGCTATTAGTTTCAATGATGATGGACTGAATATTGGTGGGCAAACCTTTTTATTTTATGAGAATTTCTAAGGTTTATCATTTTTTCACTCTAGTAGTGTCTATATATAATGTGGAGGCTCTGTCAGGAACCTCTAATTAATAATTGTAAGATTCCAACACAACCTCCAAAATTGAGCATCCATTACTTGAAACTAAACTTGTTCATGCAATACTGAAAAAGTTCAGAGCAAAACAGACATCAGCACTCATTATCGATAAGCCAAGATATTTCTCAACTTTTGGTCTCTCAGTTTTGATTCACAGCATTATACTCTGCATGGAACCAAAGTGAACAAGTGATTTCTTGTAGGACATCACAATTGTAGAAGCAATTCAGTTAGGGCGCGTTTGGTTTGCTTCTCTGGACAGCCTACATCGCATCCGGCATACAGGCTACCGTCGGCCAGGCTCTGGTGATACAAGTACTGGTGTTTGGTTGTTTGGCTGTGCAGATACAGGGTAGTGGAAGAAGTTGTTTGGTTGCCGGAGACTACATCGTGTTGACCGCATGGAAGTGCCTTGCCACCAAGCGCGCGTGTGCGACGGGAGCCTGGCTCCGGAAAAACGAGTTCCGATTTCGTTTCCCGGGAGCCTAGCCGCAGGGGGCTGGTTGCATGAGTCGGGCCTGGCCCAAGGTCAGATACAGGCATCCAAACACATCAGTCTTGCATCTCAGCAGCCTGGCCCAGCCATATGCGGGCAACCAAACGCTCCCTTATATCTTAATGCATGGTCAGACGGCCAAAAAGCACCACTGTTGGTTCGCCTGCACACGTCCATCCTCTGCCACCACTCACTGTTCATTATCCTTTGAATTCTAGTGCCATTATTCAGTATTCTCTGCCTGGTCCAGCGGATTTGTCTGCTTGAAGAAGCAGGACAAGGGGAACAAAAGACTCACAACGAGGCATCAGGCATGGTGCACCTTAGTGTAACAGTAAATTATAGTAGTATAGAATTTGCAAACTGGCCTTTTGGCAATTGGCACCAGCTCCTGCTTTCTTCTTTGCTGTGCCAACTTTTCGCCCTCCATTACATGTACTGTATTTCTCACACCTCTTTAGTTGTTGATTACAGTATAAATGTATGGTTATTCTTTTCTGCTTGGAGAAAGGAAACTAGCTATCCTAGTCAAATACTTGGACGACAGAGACGAGGCTATAACGAGATCGACGACTGGATCCTCCTTGCCTGCCATTCTGCCTAGTTCGTTGTGTTCAGGTTCTGGGCGTCACTGCGATTGGCATCCCTCGCTTGAGCTTCACCGTGGGGAAGTTGACGACGGTGTCCTCCTCCGCCACCCACCTGCAGCAGCAGCAGCCGGCAAGCATTCATGGAGCGCCAACATCCAGCAGACCAGCACACACAAATTGAAAGATAGCTAGTTCGACGGTCCATCACACACTAGCTGGTGGCTAGCTATCTTTTGACTAGCTGGGAGTGCTGCGGCGCATGCATGCAAAATGCATTGTGCATGTGCAATGCATGCATGCATGCACCAGCAGCCCCAGGATTAATTGCGAGCTCTCGTGCACATCACACGTGCACAGAATTCGGGAGTGAGCTAGCAAGATTGGTCGTCCGTTCACACACAGACACACGCATCGATAGGAATAGGAGCATCGATATTTGTACCTGAAACTGGTGACGAGATGGTGCAGAAAGATGGAGGCCTCGAGCCTGGCCAGATCGAGCCCAGGGCACAGCCTCTGGCCGCCGCCGAAGGGGGTGAAGCCGCTGCTGCTCATGACCACGTCGGCCCTCTCTTTCCACCTCCAGGGGTTGAAGGCGTGCGGGTCGTCATGGACGGCGGCGTCGAGGTGGACGGCGCGGAAGTAAACGAGGACGCGCCAGCCCTTGGGGATGAGGTGTCCCCTCACCTCCACATCCCGCACCGCCTTCCGCATGATCCCGTTTATGATGTTGCCCATCCGCAGCGTCTCCGTGATCACCTGAATCAATGTGCATGGGTACGGCGGTGGCAGTCAATTGTCAATTTCGTTGGGAAAATTAAGCAATGCATGCTGAGATGCATGTCTATGTTCTTAGGTGCTGAAAAGTAAATTAAGCAAACCAGACAAGATCAGACGAGTGCGGCTGCTATGCTATGAAATGATAAGAATGTCTGTATATGTTCTTACGTGCTGTGTGAAGGTGAGCGACATGTAGTCTGTCCATTCTAGGGTTTCTCCGGCGTCTGATTTCTGCCTCTTTAGCTCCATGTTCTCCTCCTGCATACATATACACACATTTACTAAGATCAATACAAATAAACTGATTGCACGGCCGGTGTTGTCATTGTCAAGGAAGAAAGCATTTTTTTTAACACCGTCAGGAGCACTAGCATATCATGTACGGAGTAGACTCGTATTGGACACCTATATTGACCGCACGCTCAAGTACAGATGAGACAGCCCAAGAAATCTCGAAACGCTTCTACCAGGCACACACACTACTCACATACCCGCTTGGTTCCCTCTGGGGAAAAATCCCCAGTGAGGCACGCGAAGTTTGTCCCAACCACGGATCAAACCCACGAGCGGCCGCTCCGACACCTGGGAAGCGTACCAACCGCGCTAACACTCGTGTCCTCAAGGAAGTAACTATATACACATGTGCAGAATATGCCTAAGTACAGGAATGTCCTAGTCAGTTTATTGACATAAGTTCAAAGATCAATTTAGATATGGCCGTAAAGCCCACAAAATCACTAGTTATCTATCGCAGCTTCTATATTCATCCAGATTTCCGTAGCTGTCTCTTCCTGACCTCTCTATGTATAGTTCTTCTACTGCATGGAATAGCAAAACTCTAATGAAGATTGTGAGTCTGGCAATCTAATCCCTACAATTGAAGCTCCAAATATTGGTTTTCGTTTTAATTCAACCAATAAAACTAACACTTGAAGATTCAAGTGCAGAAATTTGATTGTCCATGGCATTATCTTTTAACTGTCAAAAAGTAACAGACCATAGTTTACACCTGCCACTTTAATTTCTTTTTATAACTAAATGACGGGTATTGTATACAGCCAATTACCTGTTGCACAACTTCATGTTAATAAACTGTTAAAAAGTGACAGGCCATTGCTTTCTTTTCGGGCCTGAGCTGATGTTAAAAAGAGTGACACGTCTAAAGGGTTATTGACGACGCTGTCAAGAGCTTGTTACATTTGTTTTCATCACCACTATCTATGAGTTTTTCGTGTAGTGTATCTGAAAAAGAGATGTGAGTTTCTTTCTAAAAAAAGAGAGAAATGTGAGTCTGTGACGGCAAGGCATAGGCATACCTCGAGCTGCTGCAGAGCTAGTGGGCATTCGCTGAGATACTTGACGGCCAACGTGATGAGCACGGGCACGGAGTCCTCTGCAGGGATCATGAAGTCGATCATGTTGTCAGATATCAGCTCGTCAGTGAGCTCGTCGTTGTCATTGCCTAGCAGCACGTCGATCATATCACGTGGATGAGTGCCACGCGTATGCTCGCCTTCGGCGATCATCTTCTTCCTCTTCTCTTGGATGATCATTTTTATCAACTTTGTCATCCTCTTCTTAGCCTGGGTAGTGTTTGATACCAGAGCACACATATGAAGCTTGTTTCCTTATATATAGTTATCGCAGTTCAGTTCATTGCAAGAAAGTATATAGAGGGGAAAAATATAGGGTTCGCCGTGTTTACCCTTAGGGATCTATAGAGTTGAGTCCCCGGAAGCTTAACTGGAAGTGATATCAAACCGGCAATGAATTCTTGAAATTGTTGCCTGAGGTACTGCATTTCGTCTCCTTCCTCTAGCCCAATCAGCGCTCTCACTAGGATTTCAAACACAATCTACAGAACCCATGAAATTGATTAAATCTACTGTTAGAAGAGCTCAATGGCAGCAAAAGTTGGTCATCAACAACAACCACAAACCTATTAAGTAAAAAAAAAAGTATGGTACGTAACAATTATTAGTTGCCTATAATAAAACGTCAAAAAGATGTAAACATTGAACACTACATCCTCCGTCCTCCAATATCAGGGATTCATCATATTTCTTCAGGCATTCAAAATATGTGCTCTCTAAATATAAGGTATGGATTTTGTTTGGATAATACATGGTACTTTTTTTTGGTACAGCCAATTAATCTCTCATGACTTCATGTGCAAATCAAAGTCTGCATTTCTTTAAGGAGAGGCACATGTGACTTTTCTCATCTTCCATAAAATTAAATGTCCTAAAAATCTTATGATTTTCATCCGTTCTTATTATCCAAACAAACTCCATCTCTATCCCTATCTCTATCTCTATAAGATATCCCACCTCTTTATTATATGTAGGAAATATCCCTCCATCCAAACATGTCGATTGTGTGAGGATGATATGCGGTTCCAATCAAGCTGTGGGTAATCTTGGCGACCGCAATACGTACTGTCCATGGCTCCATGTGTACATATGGACGAAATGCTAACTCCCAACGCCGCGAAGCATCAATACTGACCTCGCATGTCGCATCCAGACGCACGCACGGCACGGCGCCCATGGATTCCGCGGCCGGCCGGGACCTCCCTATGGTAGCGACATGCCGACATGGGACGGGGCGCGCACGCGTGCACGAGAATCGGCACACGTGTGGTGGCGACCCAAGGAAAAAACGCAGCTAGTAGTCTATCTACGACGTCTACGTGCATGCAGTATGGACACAAGTACTGGATGGATCGGCAGTCGGCAGTTGGCACTAATAATGATTGTAGTCAACAAGCAGGGAGGGACGAGGAGGACGACGACGTTGGTGCTCGCGTCGCGTCGCGTCACGTACCGACTTGGCCTCGTCCTGGACGCGCACGGGCGGTGCGCCGCCGCCGTTGCTGCTCATGCTCCGGTGGTGGCGCCTGCTCCACGTGTCCATGGCGCGGACGACGCGGCGCTGCATGTCCGCAGTGACCTGCGCCTTGAGCTGCGGCGACTTGAAGAAGGCGCCCGCGAGGCCGTGCACCCGGCGCTGCAGGCCGCCGCCGAGCACCAGGATGGACGACTGCCCCATCAGCTCCATGAGCGACCGCGGGTACCACGGCACAAACGCCGACGCGTCGGCCTGCAGCACCGCGCGGCTCACCTCCGGGTCCGAGCTCACCACCGCCGGCGAACCCCACAGGTGCGACTTGAACACCTTGCCGTACCTGAGAATAATCGTCGTACGTCCACAGTCGTCAATTATTCTTGCCGCCAAAATTAATTAAAAGAAGGGAAGAAATTAGAAAGATTTAAGCTCGTGGTTATATGATATCTACTCACAAGAGGCGGCGTTTCTCGACGAAGGACTCCGGGCGGGGGGAGTACGCAGCCCGGATGAACGCCAGCGTCTCGCCGAGGAGCGGCCACCCAAGCGAGCCGGCAGGGAGCCGTGCTCCTCCGGCCGTGCCGCTCGCCGTTACCTGCCTTCTAATTCCTGATGAAGACCAGACACGGGGGATGAAGAGGCGCACGATGACGGCGGCGAGGAGTAGCGCCGCAGTGACAGAGCCGACGGACGCTGGCCAAGAACAGCCGCCTCTGATGATGGGCCACATCGCGCGCGTTCCGGATGGTGGACTGGTGGTTCTGATCGTCGATCGGCACTCTGTGTTGCAACTTGCAAGAGGAGTGACCAGTATGAAGCCCTGCGGGAACTATAGAAGAGTGCTTCTAATGGAAGGAGCCTGAACCGGCCGCCAGCTATATATGAAACTGCTCATAGTCTCGCTTCAATCTTTCATTTTTTATTGTTTATTATTCTTTAAATAAAGATAATTAAGCGTTTGTTTGGATCCGCAAGTGCTAATGGTTAGCCGCTAAAATCTAGTACTAGTAGATCTAAACAAATATGTTAATAGATCAACTAACTATGGACTGCTTACTATTAGTTTTATTAGCATTGTGGGATCTTTGGCCATAGGACTCCAAATAAAATTGTGTGGCTCATGGAATTTGTTTGTTCGGCTGTCTTCTTCTTGTTGTTGGGTTAAAAAAAATATCATTTCAAGTTGTCTAGCTCTGTCGGCATGTTGATCCAGCGTTGTGGCGATGATTAGGTCGTTAGAGAAGAGCTAGCACAGCTTGTTTTCGACCGTGATACCAAAGGAATATAGGTGTCGGGACCACATTTTGGCTGCAATCATGCCTTCCACCCGTTGTGAATGTGCACGTAGATAGATATGCATTGTGTTGTGTGTGCGCCGTATGATGCATGATTAGCTGAGACCGAGACCAGGGTGGTTGGCCATCGCTACCATGCATCATGCATGATGCATATACAATGCCACTCAAATAACACACCAAAGCATTTATCGGGCCAAGTGCTCCTTCCTCGATTACCTAGGCATGCATGTCATGGAGCATCACATATTAATTCGACCTTGAACCCGGACATGCATGTGCCTTCTTTTCGAGTGGATAGAGAGACAATCTATATATGGCGGGAGATTTTTGTTTTAACTTCAGGAAATTTCACAACCATCTTCTCGGTCTTTAGTTTTGAGGAGACAAAGATTCCTCACGTGGCTGACACATGGATGCATGGCAGTATATCTTAACAGACTTGCTAGCGCCCGGACGTCCGATCCGGGACGCTAGCGTCGGACGGTATCCATTCAGCGAGCGAGCGAGCACTCCAGCGTGTCGGGCTTGCAAGCGAGCGCCCAGCAGTAGGCCCGTGTCGCCCCGAGCATCGCCCGCACCATCATCGCTTACCATGCACATTCCATGTGCAACACCCGATCTACTTTTAAAACATCCATATCTAACCGTAGCATACAAAAGAAGACAGATGAAACACTTGAAACATATGTCTGAAACACTTACCAAAACACCTAAAAACACACTTGAAAACTATTGCAAACATGTGGAACATCCAGATGAAACACTTACAATAAACGTAGGAAATATCTGAAATACTAAACATATGCTTGCAACATGCATGTATATGCAACATCTAGATATATATTTTTGCAACATCGAGATGAAAACACTTGCAATATATGCTACAGATGAAACATTTGGAACATACACTTGAAATATACATGCATAGCCATTGCAACATGTGTAATATCCCGATCTACTTTTGCAACACACCAATTGTTGGCATTTCTTAGCGCAATCACCAAGTGTGGAGGTTTTAAGTCCATCCTCGACAACGACGCCAGAAATGCATGTTGGTATTTCTTAGCACCATCACTAAGATTGAGTTAACCTTAGCGACGCCGCCAAAAAACACCAACTACGATAGTTCTTAATGATTACAGAAATATCCGCAAGCACACGGACCTATTGTTGTAGCACTTCATTCGGAACTATTCAGGGTATCATTATTTATTTTTTTTCCAAAGGAGGGCAATGTATAAGAGTCTAGCATGAGCATGAATAAGATTACATACTTGAATAGTGGACCATAGTTCATGGCAGGGGTAAAAATGATATTTTAAGGATAGTGGATACACATCTGAGCCAACCTCAAGGATAAAAAGAAAACAAAGAATAAAAGAATATTCCTATGTTGAGCCGGCATGTTCAAATATAGCCGTGCAAAGAACAATTAATGATCATAGAAGTTATATGATTAGAGTTAGAACTAAGTGCAAGATGAATGAAGAGATCTTCGAGCACTAGTCTGCCAGCAAGCATGAGAGACTTTAAGACTCCTACACAATACCCGAACGTGGGGGATTACAAAGGACGCACATGGTTGTCACCACCTGCCGCTTACCCCTCAACTGTGGGGCACCGTCATATCCAAAGGTTCCGTGTACCCGAGCACCACGCCCGTGTACAAGCAAACTACCCATATCCCCCCGGGACTCCGACCCTACGGATCGATAAGCAAGAATATGGGCAAACCCGAAGGAACGACGAACTATCACCTCAACCCTAGCTCTACTTCTGTCGGGGATCTAATACTAGGATACCCAATGAGGTAGAGTTGATAAGTACCAAAGACATTCCCAATCGAATAGGAGCGCAACGACTCTGCCTCGTCTAACCCCGAGGGCGGGACTCATTGCCTAGCCTAGCCCCGAGGGCGGACTCCGCCTCGTCCCGGGCCGACAAGGGCTGAGCACCGCCTCACCCGACGTCCTCATCCTGCCCTCCATGATGGCGAGGAGCAGGTAAGACAGTGGTTAGGGTCAAACCACGGAAGCAAGGACCATGCCTCGCTCTCATCGACAAGTACCATCAATCACGACGGATTTGAGCGCTTTAGGCCTCCCGCCGGACATGACAGAACACGAGTAGTCTCAGAGGCGCCGGGTTTTACTGGCCTATAGTATTGCGGGCGCCGCCTTCAACCCTCGAGCACGGAGCTTGACACAAACACTGCAATAGGACTCACGTCCCCGATCGCGACAAGCGTCGGGTGCCGCCTGATTCGCCCCCACAAGATCGCATGTCAAGCACTCTGCCCGATCGTCACCCGTGAGAGACGGGATGGGACGTGACCACTTGCAGAACGCAGCATCATCAGCACACAAGTACCCGGCGAACGTGCCAACCTCTAACACCAGCTGATCGTGTCTGAGGCTGGCTTGGAGGAAAAGGAAGACCCGAGCCCTTCGAAGGACCTTCTATACCCTTGGTATTTTTCACCTGTAACTCCTGCTCCCCCCTTCGTCTATAAAAGGGAGGACAGGGCTCCCTATGAAGGAAGGGACCGAACAAATCGACTTTCAACGGACAACTCACATACAGACGAGCTCGTAGAGCCTTCTGTTCCACGCACACACAGCCAAGTTGCCGCCAGGCCCTTGGCATCCTTTCGACCCCTCCATCAGAGACCTAGGACCTGTCCCTCTCTCGACCATTTGTACCCCCTACTATGAACCATATTTGGTGCTAATAATACAAGCAGCAGCAGCGGACTGGACGTAGGGACATTCGGCCCGAACCAGTATAAACCTTGTGTCCTTTAGCACACCATCTGGCCTAACGTGCATCAATTATAAATTCACTCGCCGGTGTTTGTTCAAAACACCGACAGTTGGCGCGCTAGATACGGGCCTTTGCGCGTTCCAAACCAGGCCACGGATGGCTAACCACGACGTTAGCTGGGTCCCAGGCGCACACGTGCGCTTCGAGAGCCTAGATTTCATCATTACGGTGGGGGGAGAGTTGGTACGGGCGAACACCGCCATCCGGTCTCTCCCCTCCACCGCCCTCGACCATAAGCGGCTTAGGTGCCAGCTCAGCGTCTCCCTCGGACCCCAGCAGTATAGGAAGAACCAGCGTCGCCTCGCCCCTTCCAGCGACAACAACGTGGCACGACCTTCCGGAAAGAGACACCTCTCTCCGGAGCGCCACGTGCGGGGCGCCCCGACAGCATTTTCGTACGGTCTCCGCAATGCCGCGGCAACCGCTTGCCACCTCATGGCACTGCGCATGGTCCAAACTCCCGCGAACAGCGAGTTCGTGGGGGTAATTGAACACGACGCGGAGCCATCACCCCTCCCGGGTGTGCTTCAAGGCGGACACCTCCGAGGGGCACGTCGAAAATGTCTCTGAGGGGGACGCTACTCCAACTGCCAACCCTGACGTGAGGGACGGAGGGAGGGCGGCGGCCCCATCCCATGTAAGGACGGAGCAGCTGAGAGCACGAAAGCTAGAAATCGATGATGCCAGACAACAACTCGTCCGGGAATACCAGAGAATTGATGAGGAGATCAAGCGTCGCGGGGACGGTGGGCGCGCATACGCCACGGCCCATGATGTGTACTAGAGGACCCTCACCGACGATGGTGCCCACCCTCACTTCACCCGGGCAAGCCAGAACATCGCCGCCGCAACGGCCTTGTTTCACGGCCTTCTAGAGGCCGCGACGTCCGAAGATCACCGGGCCCGCCGAGAAATCCGCACGCTGTTCGAACGCGCGGCGGCGCAACAGACAGAGAGCTCGTTGTCTCGGTGACGCGAGCTCAACGCTAGCCACCGCATGCTCTCGGTGCGTCCCGCCAAGGACGCATCGATACACCAGACACCGCCAGGCGGCAGGCAGCGTACCCCTATTCCGGTGCACCAACGTCTCGGCCGCAACCGCGACGCACGCATCACCATCGATGCCCACAGGCGCGCCTACAACGATTCAGGAGGAGCCAGACGCGGCTACCACCCTCGGCGTGGCAGATGCTACGACAGCGGCGAGGACCAGAGCCCGAGCCTCGGCCTGCCAGGCCCCCAGGCCTTCGGTCGGCACATCCTCAACGCTGCTTTCCCACCAAGGTACCGACCACCTACCAATATCCCTAAATATTCTAGAGAGACCAACCCCGGGCTTTGGCTCGAAGATTACCGGCTTGCCTGTCAAGCCGGTGGTGCGAATGATGATGATTACATTATTCGCAATCTCCCACTATTCCTGGCCGATGCGGCGCGAGCATGGTTGGAGCATTTACCATCCAACGCCATCCAAAGTTGGGCGGATTTGATGGAAATCTTTGTGGGAAATTTCCAGGGCACGTACAAGTGCCCCGGGAACCCATGGGACCTCAAGAACTGACGCCAGAAGGCCAATGAAACCCTCCATGGGTACATCCGGCGCTTCTCC